TGGTTGTTGCTGAACTAAGGTAGCTCGCCTGAAAACAGCAGAGGGGTGCTGAGCACGACCGCACTCCACCGTGGTCAGGCAGCGAATGAACTCTATCAAAAGCCTAACTAAAATCTAAGTAAATAATATCAAATTCTTTTCCTTGATCAACAGCCTCAAAAGCTTTACTGAAGAAAGTTAATAAATTAGTTAGACAAGAACGGCCTCTCGTGAATCCATGCCGAGTATCATTAATCAAGCTATGCTCATCGAGATGGCTTATGATCTCAGCTATAATTGACTAGTAATTTGCCTACATTTGAGGTCAAGCTTATTGGGCGGTGATTTGACGGTAACGACTTGTCCCATTTTAAAAATAGGAATTACATTAGCCATCTTCCACATATCAGACACCACACCTGTTTGAAGAGATAAATTAAATATATTAGTTAATGGTTCACACAGTTCCATTTTGCAGTCCTTAAGAACCTTTGAAAAAACCTCATCAGGACCCGGCGACTTATTTTGCTTCAGTCGGTCTATCTGCTTCACAACCATTTCACTAGTGACTGTGATGTTACATAATTTATCTTCTTCAGGCCCACTAAAAAAAATAATTTCTGGAATATTGTTAGTGTCTTCCTGTGTAAAAACAGAGAGAAAATAATTATTTAAAATCGAGCACATTTTATTCTCCTTGTAAGTAAGATGCTCATAGTTATTTTTAAGGGGACCTATCTTATCTCTAACTTTTGTTCTATAGACCTGGGAAAAACTTTTTGGGTTAGTTTTAGAATCCCTAGCAACTTTAATTTCATAGTCCCTTTTAGCTTTTCTTATCCCCTTTTTAATGTCCCTCTTAATGTCAGTATACTGATTCATAAGATGACCCTCATCTCTTTTGATATGCCTATAAATTCCTTTATGCCCTAGTAGATATTTCAGCCTATTATTCATCCATTTTGGGTCATTTCTATTTGATCTAATTTCTTTATACGGGATAAACGTTCTTTGAGCAGCATGTATAGTGTTCAGAAAACTGTCATATTGATAGCTCTCTTCGTTACCCCAGTCAACAGATAAGTGTTCTCTAAGCCCATCGTAATCTGCTAAGTGAAAATCTGGGACTGTTATCGAGTTATCCCTACTATCATACTTCCATTCAATGCTAAATGTAATCGATTTGTGGTCGCTAGCACCCAGTTCCTCTGAAATTTCTAAATTATTAACAAGGGATTCATTGTTTGCCAGAACTAAGTCAAGCAGGGGTTCTGTCACAAACTGCTTCAAAAAACAATCCTGAACTACTTCTAAGAAGTCGTATGATTCTAAATTCCCAGTCAAGAAATTCCAATCAATATGACTAAAGTTAAAGTCTCCTAGAATTACTACATTATCGTGTCTTGTGGCCCTAACAATTTCCTCCCATAGTCGTCTCCCCTGGTCCCTATCTAAGTTTGGGGGATGGTATATCACACCTAAAATAAATTTTTCATGCCCCTCTGAAAATTCTATCCTGACTCTGTATGTGTTACTTGAGACTTAATACCCGTTTTTATGCAACAGTTCAAGCGATCTCGGACATACAATGCCACCCCACCCCCCTTCCCGATACTTCTATCTACTTGGAACAATTTAAAACCCTGAATATGACATTCCACAGGCATGTCCCGACTTTTTGAATTAAACCACGTCTCAGTTATGGCAAATACATCAATGTTACCTGCACTAGCAACTAGTCTCAACTCGTCCATCTTATTCCTAGCACTATGACTATTTGCATAATATATATTTAAGGACCCTCCTTTCTCTTTACCCTTCCTGCTCCTTTCTGTTATTCCACTAAACCTATTGCTGTCCTTGTCAATTAGTGCCACTGGCTTTCCAGAACCCATCTTATTTTGCCTATTACTAGTTCTCCTAGTACTCGTATTACTATGCGACTTCACAGTTTTCCCGCAGAAACCCATACCACTAACTATTCCTAGTTTAAAGACCAAACAGCTCCCTCCACTGCGTTGGCCAGTGCTCCTACCCCACACCTAGATAAGTGAACCCCATCCCTGGCATACATGTCATTTCTGCCATAGAAGAGGTCTCAGTTGTCAATGAATGTTACTGCATTTTCCTTACAGTATTTGTCCAGCCAGCAATTGACACCAATTGCTCTGGACAACCATTCATTTCCAACTCCTCTCCTTGGCAAAATACCACATATGACAGAGTTCCCACCCTTCCTTCTAATTATCTCTATTGCTGACCTATACCTGCTAATCAGGTCCTCACTTCTACGTCTGCCAACATCGTTGCCTCCAGCACTGAGACAGATAATAGGATTGCTCCCATTACCTCTCATGTCATCCAGATGGCTAACTATATCCTTCATCCCAGCCACGGGAAAACACTCTCTGCCTCCTACTCCTATCCTTCAAGCAGAATGCCCTATCCATGTACCTAATCTGGCTATCCCCAACAACAACATTTTTACCTTCCTTGGCGACGTCCATCGTGATGTTCCCAGTAGTCGACTCACATTCGTTAGGTAGCACTACACCTTCACTTGTGGAATTCGTCAAGACGTTTTCGATCACCCACAATCACAACCGCCACAACTACCTGCACCATCAACACCATTATAATCAGGATAACCATCGTGACTACCACCATCACTACCACTACCATCAACAATCCCACCATCTCATAACACCACAATTACAACACTATCAGACACAAGAGGTACATTCTTATTATTTTAATCAAAAAGAAGCGCTAAGCCACAAGGGCTATAACAAGAGGTACAATTCCAACGTCTCTAAAACACAAAACATTCGACTATTGTACGTAACATCAAGGGAAAGAAATGCTGCGATCTTAGCAGACAAAACACCTTACAGAATTTTTATCTGCTTCCGTAGTGGAAAACCTACTAATGAGGAACCAGTACCACTACCAGATTATGTTACTTCCGAGGACCCGCCCGCATTACCAAGTACATCTGCAGAAAATAAAAAGAACATACCAGAGGAAGATAGTAAAGGTGATGAATCAGCACAATAACATTCTACAGAGACTTGTGTAGACATGGACAGTGAAGATCCAATATGTGATTCAGACGCAGCCATGTGGTGTCCTGTCAGTGAAAACCATGCGTCCTTTTGGTCAACTGCCACCATAGATACTGAAAGCATGACACCAAAGATATAAATAAATACACATCGGTAATTATTAGTGTAGATGGAATATATTACTAATTGAAAATTATAGTCAGTCAATAAAATTGAGAAAAATAAAATCTGACATCATCTTTCAAACATTTTTTTTTTCAAAAACTGCTGTTTATCATTTATTTCATTTCATTTCTTATTTTGTAATTCAATTTAATTTCCATGTTGAGGACACCCCTCCCTCCCCCCAGATCTAAATCCGGCCCTGATCAAAACTAAGCACCAAACCCACACGTAGGTCCAATATCAAGGAGACGGTTTTTAACACCAGTCCATTAACATTGTTCATTAGAATTACGAATATGTGGCGAGTGTTTTTGAGTTAGTGTCCAGGGCGTCTCAAATATCAAGGTTTGAAGCCACGTTAACACACAGTAACAAGACTGTGTTAATACCTTAGTAATTACCTAGTGACAACATCCCCCCTCCCCATCACCCTCGCCACCAGTAACAATACTCACCCCCACACCCTCCACCAGCAGCCAACTCCCGACCTTTCCCTAACGACCTTCCCCCTCCCGCAAACAACCACCCTCCTCCTCCAGGTCAATGGCGCCATTTAGCCATGGTGGTCAAGAATAGTGGCGCCACTAGTCACTTCTCTGCCATCCACCACACCAGCTCCTCCAGTTCCATCAACTGTAGTAATGGCGAAAATTTGGATTTCTTCAATTTCATGGTAATTTTTGATAGATCAGCTTGGAAATATTGTAGCAATATTTCTTTCTATAAAAATGTTGAAGGAAACATTCTAATACAGACTTAACACTAATTAAATTATTCATGAACTGCAGTAAAACAATAATGTCCATACTTTATCTTTGCAGACATTGTTTTGGTGGTGTTGTTGATGGTGAAGATCTCTGAAAAGTTGCAGCTGTCCACCACACGGCCTTCACCACACAGCAGCAGTCCACCACACGGCCTTCACCACACAGCAGCAGTCCACCACACGGCCTTCACCACACAGCAGCAGTCCACCACACGGCCTTCACCACACAGCAGCTGTCCACCACACGGCCTTCACCACACAGCAGCTGTCCACCACACGGCCTTCACCACACAGCAGCTGTCCACCACACGGCCTTCACCACACAGCTGTCCACCACACGGCCTTCACCACACAGCAGCTGTCCACCACACGGCCTTCACCACACATCTGTCCACCACACGGCCTTCACCACACATCAGCTGTCCACCACACGGCCTTCACCACACATCAGCTGTCCACCACACGGCCTTCACCACACATCAGCTGTCCACCACACGGCCTTCACCACACATCAGCTGTCCACCACACGGCCTTCACCACACAGCAGCTGTCCACCACACGGCAGCTGTCCACCACACGGCCTTCACCACACATCAGCTGTCCACCACACGGCCTTCACCACACAGCAGCTGTCCACCACACAGCAGCTGTCCACCACACGGAGAATATCTTCAACCTACAAGATTCGATAAACTTAAGAGCATCAATTAAAATGTATTAAATAAATTGTATTTCTTATCAAAGTAAATATTACACACACACACACACACACACCACACACACACACACAAAGGTGTTCAAGGAACACACAAAAAATGAAATAACTGAGAAAAGCCTCAACTGCTGTATTTGTCAGCGAGGAGGAGAACATTCACACAATTCGGGAGCTTTAAGCTCGGGGGAAAAAAAAAAAATATACCTACCCCAACCCTACTAACAATAGTAGTAACGAAGCGGATAGCTCAGTACTGCCATCATTAGTAGTTTGAGGTATGATACATTTTTAAATTTCATGACCTGGTGTTTGTAAAGTGTTGAAGCTGGGCAGTTATGTACAACACTATCTTCACTGTTGTGCACGTGGAAGTGTTTGCAGTCTTCTAATGCAGGCTATCGTGATCACCTCTCGTCTCCAGTGTTCTTGTTTGTCAGTCAGGAGAATTCTGCGGCAAAGAAAGTGGGAGGGTAAACTCGGTAACATTAATCTAGGAATAGGTTTGGCTAGGTTGTAGTCAACTTGCACTACTCTCATCGACGTTCCTGTGATCCTAACAAGTTAATCTCCTCGAGAGTTTAACCCCCCCCCCTCTAAACTTTTATGTAAGTGCATATTTACCAAATAAAATTTCCCATAACTAGCTATCTATACATAGGGGTTTTAGACAGCTTGGGGAATATTAGGCACTCAGGTTCCATCAAGGAAGGGGAGGGGTACTTGCAACTTTCCTCAAGATACCTTCACTAGTACAAAGACACCCCTTAAAGGGCTTCCAAATTTAACATGAAGGTAGTTAGGATCATTAAGACATTGTATTTCCCCCTACACTTCCACGTCCCTCATAGTACACTATGGGTTATTTAACCAGCTGGAGGCCTGCCGTACACCAGTTTCCTAACACTACTATGCTAGCCTGAATTCATAACCTACCTTACCTGCCAGTTACAGCTGGCATCCTCGGCACAACCTGAGGACCACTACCTCTATTTTTCTGGGTTTCTAACCCAGTAGGATTAATAATCCTAATACAAGCTAAATCACCCCTAACTATACTCATCACCATTAGGAGTGAGTAAATCCTTCCTGCCGACTAACACTTCACTTCAGATCACAGAGGTTGTCAATGATGAAATAATAACGTCTGCTCCCAATTGCAATTCTGAACGCTAATACTCTTATATTCATAGGAACCTGAACGTCGCTTAAATTTTCCAAAATGATGAAATTGTGTAAACTCAATAAATCTATATTTAACTTTGCACAGTTTGGCCAAAGGCATAAAAAACGTAGAACACCCACCACAACCACTACCCGAAGCCCGAAACCCACCAACATCCCACGGAAACCACGAGCAATAACAGATTGCAGACGCTACTGAAGGTCGTTGGTGGGTTCCCAGGCCAACAGTTCTACGTAATCTATGCCTTCAGGGGAGATTACTCTCCCCTGCTATATGCATTCATAATGCATATAGCAGATTCTCCAGTTCTATACCTTACCTATCCTACTTAACGCAACATAATTCTATAAGTTATATCGATAGTAGAAACTAAATAATTGTTGACCTACAAAAGTATAATAAAAAAAAATTAAATGACCATAATTTTTAAAGGGGTGGGGCCGGTAAGCCAGCGGAAGGCCTCGGTCAGATGACCAAAAGCTCCAAAGGCGGGTCATCATCTGACTAAGACCAGCGTCAGGAAACATTTGTCCTGTTTCCTGACGAACCTTACGTAACCTAACTACAAAGTGTTATTATATATATATATATATATATATATATATATATATATATATTATATATATATATATATATATATATACACACACACACACACACAACTGCAGCATACTCCAGGTATAGGCCTTACTAATTTACAGAGCAAGTGGCGGCGCAATGGTAAGATCAAGGGAGGTCTGAATAACTTCAAAAGGGTCTAGGTAAGATCAAGGGGGTCTAGGTAAGGTCAGGGGTGTCTAGGTAAGGTCAGGGGTGTGTCTAGGTAAGATCAAGGGTGTCTAGGTAAGGTCAAGGGGGTCTAGGTAAGTCAAGGGGGTCTAGGTAAGGTCAAGGGGGTCTAGGTAAGGTCAAGGGGGTCTGGATGAGATCAAGGGGTCTAGGTAAGATCAAGGTGGGTCTAGGTAAGATCAAGGGGGTCTGGGTGAGATCAAGGGGTCTAGGTAAGATCAAGGTGGGTCTAGGTAAGATCAAGGTGGGTCTAGGTAAGATCAAGGTGGGTCTAGGTAAGATCAAGGTGGGTCTAGGTAAGATCAAGGGGAGTTTACGAAGTCTAAATATATGCTGCATAACCCAGTTTCAGAACACTCACTCTCCCAGACGCTCTAACACAGACTCGAGTCGTAAGCGCTAAACCCACAAGGCTATACTACTGAAAATATTTTTGTGACTTCAAAGCATAAAATTACTTGGCCAGGATCTCTACAACTTGGCCAGGATCTCTAGAACTTGGCCAAGTCTGGCTAAGAGACTGATCATCTTTTATCAAGGTTGGAGGGTAGACCTCAAAATTAACTCTCCAATTTAGTCTCCAAGACTGTTGTCACCTATTTAGTTGACAGATAAAGTCTACTCCCCAAGCAAAACATTTCATGAATAATGATACCTGTCACAATGTCTCTTACCAACTTGGTACTGTACATCATTTATAATGTGATAACATAAGAAAAATTAGAGAAATCTGGTCCAGATAAAAAGGTATCAAAACTAAGGCCAGGGGCAGTCGAAAGTGATCTCAAAACAGCCCAGGTTATATCGAAACGTCTAAAGTTTCCTCCCCAAGTGTCAG